TTGCAGCCATCATTGTTGTTTGGTGGGCCCGGGCTGGGGATTCGAACCCGTCACCTTAGGTGTATGTGGCTGGCGCCTTAGCCGCTTGAGCCACAAGCGCCAAGCCTAATCTACTTTCATAAAAGTATCTATTACTAGTGAATTTGCCTTGTAAATTGGTCTTTTTTTTCCTACAGCAGCAGATTAATAATTGTGAATTTTTTCAGATACATACAAAACTTTGTTTTTTGTTCAAATGAGTTCTTAGTTATAATTGCAAAACTTTTAGGCTGTCCAACAATGTAAACTCAATAACATGCACAAAATAAAGCATATTTGTACTTAAAACATATCTTATTCCTTTTATCATCTTTTTCTTTCTTCCTTTGAATGTATTGATATTATTGGTTGTAGCTTTCTTACAGCAGGTGCTGCTCATGAGAGTGATTCTATATTGAGAAATATTAACATATAGACATTTTAATATATACTCATTTAAACTAACACAGTTATCAATGGGCATAAGGTCTCTTAAATGATTATAAGAGTTAATAATCAGGCTTGGCACCTGTAGCTCAGTGATTAGGGCGCCAGCCACATGCACTGAGGCTGATGGTTTCAAACCTGGCCAGGGCCTGCTAAACAACAATAACAAAAAAATAGTCGGGTGTTGCAGTGGGTACCTGTAGTCCCAGCTACTTGGGAGGCGGAGGCAGGAGAATTGCTTAAGCCCAAGAGTTTGATGTTGCTGTGAGCTGTGATGCTACTTCACTCTACTGAGGATGACATAGTAAGACTATCTCAAAAAAAAAAAGTAAAAACAGTTTGTAATCAATGATATATTGTTTAGTTTTGAGATGTTTAGCATAGGTCTCATTTATCTTTTTTTTCTTATTAGGCAGGAAGTTATGAAATGGAATGGATGGGGATATAATGATTCCAAGTTCATCTTCAATAAGAAGGGCCAAGTTGAATTGACTGGGAAAAGGTAACCCTGATTTGTTGATGCCTTTGTTTGTTCTGTCTTTCTTTTCCTCTTTCTTTCTACAGATAATTTTAAACCTACACAAAAATATAATTATCCCTCTTCCAATTTAAAAATTATCAACATTATGCCATAATTGCTTCTTATGTTTTTCTGTAGTACTTCAAATTCTGACACTGTCAAGTTACCTCTAAATATTTGCATACACATTGCACGTGTCCCTTATTTTAAAAATAAGGACCATCTCCAAAATAAGAAAAATTTTATGTCTAATTATTTAGTCTATATTCACACTTCCCTAACTGTCTCACAGATGCCTTTTATAAGTAGTTTGTTTGAATGAAGATCTAAATAATGTCTATAGCCACCCTACCACTTAATCTCCACACCATTGATTTGTTGAAAGCAATTTTATATTTAAGTCTGTTAATTTACATCTGCATGTGAGTTTCTGTGAAAGGTGAGCATTCTAGTTTCTGTGAAAGCTGGAAAAAAATTTCTAAAGGACATTTGTATTATAACTATTAGTTCTAGATGTGGACGTAATTGTAAAATGCATTCTTAGTTTTAAGTACTACTGCCCCTGCCAAAGCTGTGTTTTTGGTGTGTCTATTGAATTTTGATATATAACTTTTGAAAGGGCACCAAGTATAAATATGTAATACTTCAATGCTGGCTCTATAAAAATAAATTAAAAATTGAGACTAAGTAAAAAATTGGATTAGCTGTATTACAAATCTGTTCCAATATTATACTTCAATTTAATATTGGTTGGGCATTAGTTTAATGTTTTTTAAACTTATATGCTATATTCAATTGTCAGCAAAGAAATACGTTTATTCCTTTGGAGAAGTTATTTCCTTTTCTTTGCTACATAATTAATTCATTTTTCTGACTGATATATGTATTTTGACCTAAAACAAAACCTGAGGAATAGTAATTAGGAACTAATTTTAATGAAAGTATTAAGATGTACATTACATTTTTTTAAATAGGAAAAATAAATATTGTCTGTGTTCTTATTGCCATCCTTTAGTGTGACTGGGCAGCATGCAGATGGAAGCTTAGTTGAGAAGTTGTATAATTCAGGTAGAAGGAATTTCTGTTTAAAATTAAATTCACCAGTGTTCTAAATGCTGAGTTTTATTTTTTAAATGGAATTGTAATGTCTAATACCATAGAAACTTATGCATGTAGAGATTGGCTTTTCAAAATCTTCTGGAGGAGAAAAATAAATCTTGTGAACTTAAAAAACCAACTTATCTCCTCTCAGACACCGTCCTCATTTCTCTCTTTCTTTATCTTTGAACCTTGAATGTACAGCATTTCGGGAAGGGGGTAGATAGTCATTTGCCTGTTAGCAGTCTTCGGTACTGTAGGTTATGAACTGTATTTTGAAAGTGGTCACCTTTTAGTTTTCTGGGTCATGTTGTGACTGATGGCATTCACAAAGGTCTTAAGATGATTCTATCATGAATATCAAAGATCTGTATTTCACAGAGATGCAGAGTAATCGTACAGTTAAAATATAAGGGCCCGGAATGAAAACTTAATATTTACGAATTGGTACTATGCTAATACACATATTAGCATGTATATTAAAACCACCTTCCCAGAATTTATACTTTTTACCTCCGTGACACTAAAAATATTTTATATGCTAAATGATTAACTTTAGTTTTAATTATGAGTCTCATACTTAACTTTCATTCTGCTTTCTATAGATTTATGAAAAGGTATTATGAAATACCTAAATTCAAACATAGCCTTTCAGCTTGATTTTTAGTACTTGAGATATTTGTTATTTTTTCTTCCTTCTTGCTGTCATTTTTGTTTTGCTAACCTTTAGGTAAAGATTGGTCTGAGAATTTTATTTATTTTTTATTTTTATTTATTTATTTATTTTTTTGAGACAGAGCCTCAAGCTGTCCCCCTGGGTAGAGTGCCGTGGCAT